AGGGAAATCCTGTTTGAAAACCGAATTGCAGTTTTCAGACTATTACTGTCTCCTTGCTGTCCATGTGCTTATTGATATATGGAGAGAAACAGGTAAGGAGCAATCATTTCATTTTGATACTACTCTTTTTTTAATTGACTATAAACCCATGGACTAATTACATAATCCAAGAATTTGATTTATGCTTTTAGATTTTTCTTTCTTGCCCTTCTCCAGGGTGCTTCTAGAAGAACCTAAGTCTCCACGTATCCCCTCCCTGCAATCAGGAAAATCTTAAATCAGTGGATATCTGTTCTTTTTAAAAATATTTATGAATTGTGAGTAATGACTGTAGAGAACTTATTACAAAGCTACAATAATTAAAATACAGAGAAACTCACCGAAACCAGTTTGGCTCAGTGGATAGAGCGTCAGCCTGCAGACTGAAAGGTCCCAGGTTCGATTCCGGTCAGGGGCATGTACCTGGGTTGCGGGCACATCCCCAGTGGGAGATGTGCAGGAGGCAGCTGATTGATGTTTCTCTCTCATCGATGTTTCTAACTCTCTATCTCTCTCCCTTCCTCTCTGTAAAAGTTCAATAAAATATATTTAAAAAAATAAAATAAAATACAGAGAAACTGATGTAGAGATGGATGTATAGGCCCATGGAATGGAATAGCCCCCTTACTCACTTTAAAAAATTATATATAGCAAAATGATCAGTTCCTTTCCATGTTTGCTTTTATATTCTGCCTAATTCTAATGAAAGATTAAGACATTTTTTCTTGTAAAAAAATTATATACAGGAAAATGCACTCTTTTTGGAATACAGTTCTGGTTAGCCCATTTAAGACAAAAATATAATATATGGTAAAGGATGATTCAGCGAATGGCATTGAGATTGCCTTTTCTTTTTAATATATTTTTTATTGATTTCAGAGAGGTAGGGAGAGGGAGAGAAAGATAGAAATATCAATGATGAGAGAGATTCATTGGTCAGCTGCCTCCTGCTCGCCCCCTACTGGCGATCAAGCCTGTAACCCGGGCATTCGCCCTTAACTGGAATCAAACAGGGCACCCTTCAGTCTGCAGGCCAACACTCTATCCACTGAGCCAAACAGCTTGGTCTGAGATTGCCTTTTCTTTAGGTTGCCTCCCCCTAACATTTTCTCTTATTAGCAGTTTTTAGGAAAAAATAACTTCAGATACTATTGCATATTATTTACTAGAATAAACTATAGAAGAAACAAAGGGCTGGGGAGGGAGTAGAGTGCAGGATAGACACAACCCCTGCCCTCGGATCATTTCACAAAGTACTCAGTTTTGATACTGTTATCCTCATGTTTAAAATTCTTCAGAGGTGCCCTATTTTCCTGAGGATAAAGGCCAGCCTTTTCAGGGTAACTTACAATGCCTTTTTAAAATCCAGCTTCTGCCTGCATCTCCCGGTTCTTATGTACATACAGTCCTGAATCTACTGGGTTTTTCCCAATAATTATCCTCTAGAATAATAGACACACACCAAACTAAAGCCTACTGTACAATGTCTTCCTTATAACTTGAAAATGTTATAAAAAATGTTTTTCTTAAAAGTTGTTCACCATCTTGACTCAATTACATTGAATAATTTTACATTTATTAAAGGTGTCACGTGGGGACGGTGGAATTGAAAGCCTGAGGAGATGGGCATACAGGTCATGATCCAGACCAAACTTCTTACATCCAAATTCTTATTTGTCCACACGGGCCACAGACACTATGTACATATATTTTGGGTTCTGTCCAAATTTGTTTCCCATAATTACAACGAACACATTCAATTGACTATGTTTTTATTGATTTAAGAGAGAGAGAGAAATAGATGAGAGATAGAAACATCAATGATGAGAGAGAATCATTGATTGGCTGCCTCCTTCATGCCCCCTACTGGGGATCGGGCCTGCAACCTGGGCATGTGCCCCTGACTGGAATCAAACCCAGGACCCTTCAGTCTGCAGGCCGATGCTCTAACCACTGAGCAAAGCCAGCTAGGGCCGAGTTTTTTTTTTTAAGTCAGTGAAAGTGATGTTGAAGTGCTCCAATCATAGGCATAGTCATTATTCATGGAGGATCTGGCAGAAAATTGAAATTTATAGAAAATTGGTAAGGATATTGAAAAAGAATGATTTGAATATGAAAGGACTTAAGAAGATTGCTTTAGGAAATGGGTGATGCTCTCAAATGTTTTTGCAAAATGGCATTTCTTTATAGTTATGCTGCAAAAATAAAAGGGGCAGTGAAGAATATCATTTCCCCCTCTGTTTTATTGATATATAATTGATACATTGTATTACTTTAAGGTATACAGTATGATGATGATTTGACATATGTATAGATTGTGAAATGATTGCCACAATTAGTTAACATCTATCCCACACAGCTATAAAATTTTTCTTACTAAGTCTACTCTCTTAGCAACTTTCAAATGCACGATACAGTATTAACTATAATTACCATGCTGTACATTATGTCCCGAGATATTATGTCATTTTGTTATATTATAAAATTTTGTTAGAAAAATTTTGTCCCTCAAAAAAACCTCATCAGTCTTTGATGCTCTTTTTGATTTGGTAAGAGTTTGTGTACAGTTGTAGTTATATCCTAAAATTTGCAAAATAAAATGATACATGTTTTTATAATATTTGGTTCAGTAGTTCAGAAAGAAGTATGAAATGAAATCTTTTTTTTTTGCTATTTACTTTGAAATTTTGTTTCTATTTTAAAGAGATCTTTAAGAAGATTTTTTCCCCCTGATACTAGTTATCCTTGAACAGCTAGAATTTCTTAAAATTTTCTGTTCTCTATAATTGTTCAACTCTCTCTTTTTTCTTAATTGGAGTAATTTGTTTTTACATATGGAGAGGCTCCTGCCATCGCCGCTGTGCTTGCCAACCCTGAGCCCGGCTCAGGGCTTCTGTGTTGAGCATCTGCCTCCTGGTGGTCAGTCTGCATCATAGCGACTGGTCGTTCCGCCGTTCAGTCAATTTGCATATTAGCCTTTTATTATATAGGATATTGATTTCAGAGAGGAAGGGAGAGGGAGAGATAGATAGAAACATCAATGATGAGAATCATTGATCGCCTGCCTCCTGCACGGCCCCTACTGGGGACTGAGCCCTTAACCCGGACATGTGACCTTGACCAGAACCAAACCTGGGGCCCTTCAGTCTGAGGCTGACGCTCTATCCACAAAGCCAAACTGGCTAGGGCCAGGTAGATTCTTAAAAGAGAATTAACTTAATGTTTAATATTATAGTTACATGTGAACGTCTGAGTTTTGGTGGCTCAAAATGTGTATCACTTTATTTTGATTATGAATGAGCAATTTTTTTCAAATCTTATTTGATATCCTATTGGTAGAGTTACAATAGAAGAAAAAATGACGTTTAGAGAAAGCATCTGGGTCTTGTAGAGAAAATCCTGAACTGGGAAGGTTGGTGACACCAGTTCTCCTTCAAAGTTCGTCTCTTCTCGGAATCTAGGATTCCCTGAGATTCCATAACTTTCCTCTACAAGTCCTGGCAGCTTAAAAGTTTGTGTCAGTTTTATAGATGCATATTTAAGACTTGAGGTACCTATTCAGGGAAACCCCCTGTTTTGCTTATAGGTGTGTATCTAAAATTTCTTCTCTGCCATCTAAGCTCATTCTTAGAATATAGGGGAGGTGATGATGTCAGCAAGGTTTTGTTTTTGAGAACCCTATATTTGCTGTCAAGATCTGTGGGTAACGCTGTTATATTTTGGTTCTAGGTGACGAGACTGCTGTGTGGCAGGCCTTGACTTTGCTGGAAGAGGGATTAATCCATAGCCCTTCCAATGCTCAATTCAAATTGCTGCTTGTTCGAATCTACTGTATGCTGGGAGCATTTGAACCTGTGTTGGATCTGTACTCCAGCCTTGATGCTAAGCATATCCAGCATGATACCATTGGGTTGGTAGTATATACTCTGAATAATGAGCAGTCAGCTACACCAGTGTGGGGCGCTGATATATGAAACATTTTGATTTTAGCAGCAAAGTTGTTCCTGGTATTAAGCTTTTTAGATGAAATAATCACATATCGTGACTTGTTGAAAAACAGTAAGATTTATATTTGCCAGCATTATGTAGTAATGTTAAAAATTGCATAGTTTAGAAGTGGTAAGAAAGTTTTTCTTAGAGACAACAAATGGCTATATACTTTGAACCCTTTTTCTTAGCATACATGGTTTTGAAATCTTTACTTTTGGCTTGGACTTGACGTTGACACTTGTACTTCATTTGTTTTCCTCAGAAATTCTTTGAATTTGTGTTGGAATTATTCTTTGCGATGAATTGGGGTATTTTCTCTATTCCCTGTAGAGCTGTTTCAGGAAGATAGTATTCTGTTCTTTCATAATCTGTGCTCCATTAATTATCTGAGTATAAGAAAGCATGGCATTGAACTTTAGAGCTTCCCCAAAACTGAATTAACTTTGTTCTTTTTAAAAATTTGATTCTGTAAATTAGATTTCTGTTGCAAGATGTTTTAAATTTTCCATATGCTTAACTACTTCTCTGCCAAAATAATTTGAAGTATAGTATATGATATTATAGGTGGGTAAGTATAACATGTTTTTTTCTCTTTCCTTCCGACCTAGTTATCTTTTGACCCGATACGCTGAATCCCTAGGTCAGTATGCTGCTGCATCCCAATCCTGTAACTTCGCACTCAGGTTTTTCCACTCCAACCAGAAAGATGTAAGTGAAAAAAAAAATAAATTTTTTTTATGGTCTTGCCTGTGGAATGCACATGATTCAGAGAGCATCTTCCCGTGTCACAGGTACACCTAAGGTGTATCTTGCTGTACTTGCAAGTGCCTATATGCCATAGCTTACTGGCCAAGGCTGATAGGTATAGTTGAAGTTATTTGTGGTTGATAGAATCCATACAAAGGTGTTAAAACTGGGTATTAACAGAATAGGAAGATTTATGCCTCTTAGGTCAGTCTTTTAATCTCTAAGAGACTTTTTCCAAGGACATGAGAAGCTGTGTAAGATTCTGCGATAGCAGCTGCTCTCTGTTACCTTAATTTATTTCTGAAATCTATAACCACTGTGCTCTTTGTCAACAGCAAACGCACTTATGTTTTCTTAGAATTATAAAATTGATCAATTGAAGGTCATTTCAGCAATGAATAAGATAGAGCTTTTATGTGCCATAATGAAAGGATGGGATTTGCACCATATTTTTCATTGCAAGCAGAGTTGGTCTCCACTTGTCAGTTATGCAGTCATTTTTGTGGAAAAGCCATATATATGGTTTCTACTCAGTTGACCAACTATGCAAAACTACCCAGGAAGATGTGTGAAGCTAAGGCATGTCTTCTAGGTCACTGCCGACTAGTTCTCATGTGCTTCCAAGACTCATCGCCTGGAATTGGGCCATTCCAGATATCTGCCTGTAGCTCTCCATTTTCTGGTCTAATAGCAACCAAGAAACTGGGCCAGCAAGCTGGTTTCTGGGTTTCTTCATGACAAACGCTCATGAGGATTTTAAAAAAATGTTTTGTAACTATAACAGCTTTGGCTAATCTATCTGCTATCTAATTCTTTAAGGGTGTAGTAAATAGGTTTGTTGTTCTCAGCTTGTAATAATTATGTCCTGACAAGTTTCTGAGCATGGCCTGAAGGACTGGTATGCTTCATTTACTGGCTTTTAAGCCCTATTTTCCTCCCCTTTGACCTCTTTCCCCCACAGTTGTTGGTATCTCTGTTCAGACCTCATTTTGTGCCATAGCTCCTGACCAGGGAGAGAGTGAAGTAGGCATCAGCATTTGAACATATTGCTCAGAAGGTGCTGGCCTGGCTTAGAGGTCAGGGAGTATCTTTTGGACCTTGGATTTCTAAAATTTCTTAGCATGAGTGGGCAGTTATAAATCTCTTGAGTTTTCACTGTGCATTCAATTATCTGTGCTTTGCCTTCTGTTTTCAAGTAGTTTTACTAACACAAAAGAAAAAACTGTTCCTTAAATCTCATTCTAGCTTTCCTTTCTATATTTTAAGGAAGAGGCTAATTAAACATTTGATTTACTGAAGAATTCTTTTCGAAGTTTTGTTTCTCAGATAGTTTTGAAGTGGGAGTTGGGGTAAATAAGGGGTTAGTTCAAGCCTGGTGGCTGGTTTTACTTGTTTCCAGTCATTTAACATTCTTAAAGAGCCATGTTGTTCATGACTTGGCCAACAGAGATATATTATTTACCCTATAGTTAAGCTTTAATTATTCCCCCACAAAAATTGTATCTGAAGAGTTGTTTTGAACACACACACCAAATAAAAGTATTGTAGTAGGGACAGGAGATCCCCAGGAGCGATTAGAGAGGACATGTTGTCTCTAATGTGGCTTTTGTATCTTTGGTGTTTTGCTGATGGCTGTATGTGACAGGAGTGACAATTCATCTCAATGCTTGTAATGCTGAGCCTGATAAAATTATTGTGTTTTATTGATCTGGAACTAAGATGTTCTACTTGACACATTTGTTTTTATTACTACTAACTGGGAAGACAGAGCTTACTTCATTATATTAGGTAGATAATCTTTGGGGATTCTGGAGGCAAAAGCAAACACAGTATAGCAAGGAAAACATACTTTAAACCTTAGTGCCTAGCCCCAGTCCCCAAATATGAAAATGAAGACTGGTGTGGACTGTTTCTTGTAGGAATTTGAGGCTGAGAAAGATCACGGTTGTAGTGTTGGTACTATATGTGTTAAATCTTCAGGGGTAGTATTAGAAATATCTCTCTGGAAACAAAAACTCGACGCTCTATATCTTTTATTCTTGGTAGTTTTTTGTGTCCCCATTTGGTGTTTCCTTGGGTGACTGATGTATTTCAATTCCCAACTAGCTCTTTGAAAGAACACTTTTACTCCTAAATGGAAAATCTGGTTTTCTGCTTTTTAAGGCTTTGTGCTGTGGAATCAAAAGTTGTATTTGGAAGGTCTGCACAGGAATTTTCTCTCTGAGAAGGTGATTGTCTGCCGTCATTATTGCTTGTGAATAGATTTTTACAATGTGAGAATTAGTGCTAGATTTTCATATCTTCCTAAGTTACTTATATATTTATACGTTAAAAAAATTTCCCTTTGAAAGTCTTTATTTTAGGTATCCATAGAAGTTATTATTCAGGGGTTTGATGTCCATGTATTATGCAAATTTTTAGTGACCAGGGTTCATTTCAGGAATCCGAATGGGATCTAAATAGCTTCAGTGGTTCATACATGAATAGAAATAGGTACGGACAACATTCTCTGATTTTCAGAAGTCTTTAAAGTGCCGATGACTTCCAGTTTTGCCTGCAGTTCTAATGGCAGGGGGTGTCTTCAAATTGTAGTTCTTCCCCGGCTTTTGTCCTATTGGTAGTTGCTCGAGCCCTTTTCTAGTTCTGCAGTGACAGTTTACCGCAGCATTAAAGGAGGACTATCGTCAAAAGAGCAACTAGAGAACTAGAGTTACCTTCTCAGTTTGTTAAAGGACTACATTCCCTCTTTGTTGCCCCCTATTTTCTCTTTTTAAAGCTGTTGCCTTTTTCTAAAGTGGTAGTCCATGGACCACTTCAAATTAAAACTGCTTCTACACTCAGTAAGGCTGGGTTCTTTCTTTTAAACATATCATATTTTGGATCTGTAATTGATAAATTTGATTGGAATCACCAAAGTCATATTTTATCCTGATTAATTTCTGGATCATATGTTCCTAACCAGCTATTTTTTTTTCCAACTTCTAAGTTCCTATTGCAAGGGCTGCTGGTAAACCTTGCTGTTTTCCAAGCCAAGTGGCCATCGGATAGGCATGTGTTTAGAGTGTCCTGGCCTCTTCTTATAGGGCCTATCACTGTCCTTTAATCAGGCTCGATTAGAAGGTACACTTGAGCTTTTTCAGATAGTCCTTCTTTAAACCTGCAGGATCACAAGTAATCTTTTTAATTTTCTTGTGTCCGTCCGTCTTTAATTTCTCCAGATACTGCAGGCAAACAGCTCGCCGAGGTGTCCCATGGGGGTTTAAAAGCCGCATCGAATGCAGTTGAATTAGCGCCCGTGGCGCAATCCCGCGGCCTGAAATGAACCCTGCGAGGCTGTGTATCAGAGGGTATGTTGTGAACTATTGGCCTATTTTCCTATTGGGCAGATAATTGGAACGTTATGGAGATGGGGGTAAAGCTGATTGAGGTTATGCCAAACAGACTGGAAAGGATCTAGAAAGGATTTTTTAGGGTAGACATCAGCTTTGAACTTCACACTTTCCTTGGTCCAAAGGGATGCCCTCCTGACTTCTCATCCTGATGGCATAGGTCCACCTATGAAATGTTCTTCCTTGAGATTTTGTTCTGTTGTGCCAGAATTTCTGTTGAGAATTCTTTATCTTGCCTCTGTTTACAATGTTTCATCTGTAAATGTATTAATCTAAATTAAAATCAGATGTGGTGAGTGTTGCCTTCACTTACTTGTTCATGGAATTTTCCAGCAAAGGTCTTAGGTAGTTTGGATGGACAAGTAGTCTGGTTCTTGAAGTCTTTCTGTTCGCAGAACAGATTATGACATGAGTTTTTTTAGGTCTTTTGTTTGGCGCCTTATTTCTATCCTGATATAATACATGTCCTATGTTTGTGATATTGTATTTAGAAATAAATAAAACCAAGCAGCAGCCTTTTTTTTCTGAAGGAGAGTGATTTTTTTGTGGGGGGGGTGTTGGTAGGGTGGTTATATTATTCTAGTGTTTTGGAACCTTTGTATAAAATAGTTTGTCTTAGATGCAGAAAAACATGGAGTAATATCCCTTCCACAATGGTGAATTGAAAGACAAAATTGCTAAGAAAAAGTCTGTATGGTGGCAGCAGCAGCTGGGTATTACCAGTGGTAATATTAGTAAAGAAGACATTTAACTCTGGTATAGGAAAGAAGGAAAATAATGTTTTAAAAAGCCGATAGTGTACTTGGTGACCAAGGCCTTTAAAGAGTAGATTCAACATCTTACTTAATTTTAGTTTGAGGGTTTGTTGTTTTTTTAAAAATTTTGGCTGGCAATGTTTGCCTTCATTGTCTGACCTGTGAAATATTTATACCAAGGTAATGTCTTTCCTTCCCAGACCTCAGAATATATTATTCAAGCTTACAAATATGGTGCATTTGAGAAGATCCCAGAGTTTATCGCTTTTAGGAACAGGCTGAATAATTCTCTTCATTTTGCACAAGTCCGTACTGAACGGATGTTGTTAGACCTTCTACTTGAAGCAAATATGTAAGTACTAGAGGCCCGGTGCGTGAACTCATTTATGAGTGGGGTCCCTCGGGGTGGCCTGTGGGGATCGGGCCCCTTCTTGCGCCCCCAGCCTCGCAGCCCTGCAGCCCCACCTGGCACCCCGCCTGGCACCCCGCCGTGGCCTGGTGCTGCCCCCTCACCTGCTCCACCATCCCGCCTGCGGGGTGAGGGGTGATCGATTGGGACCAGGCATCCTGCCTGGCTCCTTCAGGACTTGGGAGCTGTGCGGACCCCCACCCCCCCCGCAGTCTGTGGGGCGATTGACGGGGCGATTGGGCCACTGCTTGTACCCACCTTGGCCTGGCACCGCCTACTCATCTGCTCTACCATCCTGCTGCAGTCCTGCTCTCATCGGGGCCCATTGCATCGCCGATGCCTGCTATGTTCCACACCGCCCCCTGGTGGTCAGAGCACGTCATAGCAAGTGGTTGAACTCTCAGTCAAACAATTTGCATATTAGGCTTTTAATATATAGAATTCCATAAGAACTACAAAGGAACTAAGGGATTAGATCAAATGCTGAGAGCCTTTAATGGGCTCATGGGTGACATTAACAGGTTTAAGCTAAGGAAAAATGGGGGGAAAGGAGAAAATAGAAGGGGATGCAGGGAAGAAAGGGGAAGAGAACTTGATATATGTCATGAGAATGAGAATACTGCCAGCTTCCATACAGAAGCCAGCTAGGTTCTGGGCGATAATTGTGTTTATAAGGATCCCTGCACACATGGGATTTCAGGGATCCACTTTGTTTTGGTTGGGCTTCCAGACTCAGGCTGGCATGGTCTGTGCTTGGTTCTCTTTCACCTTCTATGAGCCTTTACTACTACTATTTTTTTTTTAAATATATTTTTATCTACTTCAGAGAGGGAAGGAGAGTGAGAGATAGAAAAATCAATGAGAATCATTGATCGACTGTCTCCTGCACGCCCCCTACAAGGGATTGAGCCTGAAATCCGGGCATGTGCCCTTGATCAGAATCGAACCCAGGACCTTTCAATTCGCAGGCTGATGCTATATCCACTGAGCCAAACAGGCTAGGGCGAGCCTTTACTTCTTAGTAGAAATCCTTCCCCCCTTCCTTTCTAATAAAACAGTCCTAGCTAATATGTTTTTATGGCTGGTTTATAACTTCAGTAATACATAAATATATTTTATATACCACAGATCAATCAGCTTAGCAGAAAGTATAAAGTCGATGAATCTTCGGCCAGAAGAAGTACGGATCAGAAAATATAGGTAAACCAAAGAAAGAGAATAAATCTCACCCCTATATTGGGATTAAAAGTTAGGTCCTTCACAGCATCTGTGCAAACAGACTCCAGATAGATTAAAGATTATGTTAATTTATGTTTTCTTCTTAGAAATTCTAGAAGAAAATATAAAATAAAATAAAAATGGTTAGGGAAAGCCTTTCTTAGCATTACCTCAAATCTGGAAACAAAAGATTTAACCTTTGTAAATATTAGCCCTCTATATAGAAGTAAATTTGTTAACAAGTTCTAAGGATATGTGGTAAGTTGGTAAGTTTCTTCATATATATATCAGTTTATCAGAAAGTATGAAATATATATGTGTGTGTGTGTGTGTGTATACACACACACATATATATATTCGTTAATCCTCACCTGAGGATATTTTTTCCATTGAGTTTTTTTAGAGAGAGTGGAAGGGAGTGGAGAGGGGCAGAGAGAGAGAGGAGGGAGAGAGTATGAAACACCTATGTGAGACAGACACATCGATTGGCTGCTTCCTGCATGCACCCTGACTGAGGCCTGGGATAGAACCTGCAAACCATGACCCTCTGGTGTGTTGGCCAATGCTTTAATCACTAGATTATGAAGATCAGGGCTCTTTATATATATTAATAGCCTTCATATATAGAGAGAACTAAGAAGAAGATAACTAAAAAACGAATTGGGTAAATGGCTTAACAGGAAATTCAAAGAAATGTATCTTACAGCAGTAAAAATATTTTTTTTTAAAAAATTTGATTTTTTACAGAGAGGACGGGAGAGGGATAGAGAGTTAGAAACATCGATGAGAGAGAAGCATTGATCAGCTGCCTCCTGCACACCTCCTACTCGGGGTGTGCCTGCAACCAAGTACATGCCCTTGACTGGAATCGAACCCAGGACTCTTCAGTCCCCAGGCCGATGCTCCATCCAGTGAGCTAAACAGGCGAGGGCCAGCAGTAAAAATATTTTAACCTGTTAGATAAAGATAAAAAGGATTAATACTGTGCTCAGCAAGGTGGTGGGGAAAATCGTTTTTGTACGTTTACATGGGGGTGAAACTTTATATAACTTTCCCTAACCTGGAATTTTAGTGATGTGTATATGTATCAAGATTGAAAAATCCATATACTGTTTAGTTCAGCGGATCTGCTTCTAGGAAAGTGGAACCTAAGGAAATAGGTTGTGCAGAGATATGTCTATGAGATAGTTCTGAATATACTGTGACTTGGGGATTGCCAAGAACACATTTAGTGATTTGCAAGCACTCATGGGACTCAACATATCCTTGTTCTCACAGCTAAAGTTTATTATAATAAAAGGATACATGACAGGATCAGCAAGGGAAAAACATACAGGTGGAATCTGGAGAATTCCATGAACAGACTTCCAATGTCCTCTCCCTCCTGGGAGGTGCCCTATCACACACGCTCCTTTCTCTAGCCACGGAAAATACAGTATTGAGTGTGCAATGTTTCTGCTTAGAGAAGCCCATTAGAGAGATGGTGCCCAAGGTTTAGGTATGCTTTGTGTAGCATGTACCAACATTCTAGACTCCCAGAAGGAAAACAGGTGTTCACCATAAACAGTAGGCTTATACAGTCTAGGCACAGTGAGCCACTCTTGTCATTTAGAGAATGGTTGGAGTGCCAAGTTTCCAGACATCAGCCAAGAGCTACCCTTACGAGCAGGCTCTTCTAAATTAATAGCCTCAGGCTTGCTATGTTAATCTTTTCTACACATTCTATCATTAAAAGATGCAGTTTGGAAAATAGTATGGATACTGTGAACCTGTGTTATTTGCTTAAAATAAATTGTATAAATACTTCTGGTTGCATACTTTTAGTACCTCTGTATTGCAAAAATCTGAAATCTTTAAGTTTGTTAATATGGTGGATGCTTGGTTGTCAGGTCATTTTTCTTCTCCTTTTTACTTTTCGGTCATTTGAATTGTATTATCAGAAAAGTCTCAGTTAAGGGGAAAGTAACCTGTTAGGTAGGTTGTCATTCCCATTTATGGATACCTAAATGGGGACTTGGATGATTTTGGTTTGTCTAAGATCATTCAGCTAGTAAATGAAAGCTGGGCCCACTCAAAGGCATCTTGTCTGATGAAAGTTAACTTTGAAAGATTTAAAGGCAACAAACACATTTAGTAAAAGGGATGGTTTGGGGATTTTTTTAAAGGGATGTTTCTGAAGAGCATAAGAAACTTTCCTTGGAGGAGGAGACCATGTGGTTAAGAATCCGTTCCTTAACATTGAGGCTGATCAGTGGACTCCCAAGTCTTAACCACCCTGTGGAACCAAAGAACTCGGAGAAGACCACTGAGAACGGTGTAGCCTCCAGGGTTGATATTCTTCGTTTGCTCCTTCAACAGCTGGAGTTGGCCCTGGAGACAGGAAAGCGATTTATTGAGAAGGAAATTCAGGTATATACTATCGAAGCTTCAGTAATTTATGACTACCTTTTTAATAATATGAATTTGGGTGGGTGAATCGTAAGAAACAGAATTTTGTCCCAGTTTATGACATTTGTAGGAAAAAGGCAAATATTACAAACTTGGAGGATTGTAGAGGCTGTCTCAATATCCAGACTGGAAAGCGAGGAAAAGCAAAATAGCTTTTTTTGGTGATAGTAAATTATTTTTTAATCCTCACCCGAGGACACATTCATTTATATTTAGAGAGAAGGGAGGAGGGCAACAGAGACAGACAGACATCAATGTGAGAGAGAAATATCTATGGGTTGCCTCCCCTATGGGCCCTGACCAAGGATAGACCCTGCCATCTAGTAGATATGTGCCCTGATCAGGAATTGAACCCTTTCAGTGTATGGGACAATGCTCCAACCAACTGAGCCACACTGGGCCACACTGGCCAGGGCTGTGATGGTAAATTTTTAAAAAATATATTTTTATTGATTTCAGAGAGGAAGGGAGAGGGAGAGAGAGAGAGAAACATCAATGATGAGAGTGAATCATTGATTGGCTGCCTTCTGCACGCCCCCTACTGGCGATCGAGCCTGCAATCCGGGCATGTGCCCTGACTGGGAATCAAACCCTGACCTTCTGGTTCATAGGTTGACATTCAACCACTGGGCCACGCCAGCCGGGCAGTGTGATGACACATTTTTAATAGCTATCTATTTTCTCTATAACGATGTAATTGTTATCACAGTCCCCTTTACTCCTGGTTATGCTTTCCACAGGTATGGTTGGTTACCTGC